AAAGATCATTTATGAGAATGCCCAAGCCTTGTTACAGTGCAAATCCAGGCCTGAAGTCCTGTTAGGTCCAAATCCTGGTCTGAAGGCAGATAGGTCCAAATAGTGTTTCATCCAGAAGTTTCTAGAGTTGAAGCACAAATACATCCTCCCAGTCCCTATACTCAATAAGTCAATATTAGCAAATAGTATATAGTTAAAATTTCTCATATCCAAAGAAGATGTTCATGTACAGCAAGGTAGTGCTGAAGGTGCTAGTTTCATCAGCAGGCCTCTGTCACCAAAGCTGGAATGCTATAAAAGTTTTCTATAGCAAAATTATTTTATGTATATTTTCCCCTTTTAATTATAATGTCATTTTTGAGAACCTATGCATGAGCTTTGAGATGCATGGTTTCTGTTTATTCCAGGCGGTTCATATTATCTTTCATGCCTGACATTTTAATTCACCGCAAATTTTATACCCTTTGTGCTAAGTGCTGCTAAGACACAAAAGAATGTAGAGTTAAATCTGCAGACAGTGTTTTAAAACTCCTGTGATGATTGTTCTTGGATATGTACTTCTGTACTATGACTCAAGAGACAACTATTTAATAGACAACATTTGAATAATACAAATGTGTAGTTGGTAAAAATGGATTAAGGTTTCAGGGTGGTACCAATGGGTGATATTTAATATTGAATGACATGTATTAAGACAAATGCTTTTATATATAATTTACTTGGCATTGTAAATGCATTTATCTTGTGAGATTCAGACCCCCTGATGCAAAATGAAGTATTCTGGAAAGGTTTTGAGTAAATAAATAATAAAACCACTTTGATACACAATCTAACAATATTAAATATTAAGACTTCCACATGATTGATTTTAATACTTAATTAACTTATTTAAAGTCCAATGTGACTCTACTTTGTATTAAGGATCTGTTCAGACTGATGGTACTTAAAAGTCCAGAATCTTTACTAAATGGAATGAAAATTAAGTGCAGTTCATAATTGCTAGATTTGTGAGTGACAAGTCATTTGGTGACATGAGCTAGTGCTCTTCATTTTGGAATCCAGCTGATCAACTTCAGAGCATTAGGTAGTTTTTTTATTTGCGTCATTCCATTTTAATGATCTATAATCTGATACAGTTTATGAAAGAAAACATGCTTGCTTTGCGCTATCTAAAATATGTCAAATTGTGCATTTTTTATATAAAAGAAACACTTCCCCAATGACAGATAGTTGGTAGTAAATTATGAAAGAAGCTTGGTAGGTGAATAAGAAAGAAGCTCAGTCCTTAATGGCTTTTCCTGCTCTATGAAATGGAGACTGGGAAATCTAATGCCCCTCATTTCAATGAAAAGGTACTAGAGGCAGGATATTTTTCATGGAGGGGTTGTTGAGTTGCAACCCTAAAAGCTTTGAAATACAGAACCTTCAGTCCAGTTTGCATACATTTGTTTGCCCTGCATAAGAGCTTCCTAGTTTAGAGGATGCAGTGAACACTTCAAAAGAAGATTCACTTGGTGTGTTTTTTTCATACAATTTTTTCTTCAACTTTCTCCAGCATAGGGTATGTGCCAGCTCCTAGGACTTTTCATGCCTTCCTAATACATTTGAGAGCAATTTTATAGTTTCAGTTCAGCAGGAAGGTTGGAAGGTCTCAAGGTGGATTACACTACATTTAAGTTGTAACAAGGTTGACTAGAGTCACTAGAAAGGCAACAGTATATTCCAGTTTCCTATCAGACTTTCCAGTTATTCTGCTTGTGAATCTCTGGGGCATGGCAAAGAAAAGATAAATTCAGCAACCAAATGTCAGTACTTCACAGGACAGGTATCCTCAGTTGGACCACTATTGCTGATGTCTCTGCCATTTTTGGCTCCTAATAGAAGATGAAAGAGGCACAGGAAGAGCAAAGATGTTTATGTTCTTCCACAGTTTGCAGATGTTCCATCTGCCATTCTGCTTCTGAATCTTTAGACCCTAGTTATTGGAAGATAAAGAACCCAAACTTTAGTCATTTGGAAATGACTGCCAAATCAGCCACATATTCCCCCCTTATTGTGGGGCTTTTATCCCCTGCAAGCTACCTTTAGCATTAAAAATTACAATACATTTAATAAATGAAATGTAACAATCAATGAAAAATTAACCCCACCCATGCTTTTTAGCCAAATCGACAAGCACATGTTTAATAAGTACAACTAACTATGAGAAAGAGAGGTTTCCCAGATTTACGCTAATTGTTGGAAGAGTTCTTGATTGCCTCTTGATTACCTTAACTATTGTTTCTCTGGCAAAGAAGTGAGTTCTTTGTTGGTGTTTGCTAGGTGCTAGATGAGGGAATTTCTAGGAGTCTTAGGACAATGGGTCATCTTTGTAGGGTTGATTTGCCTAATCTTTTTCAGGGGAAAATGCCTGACCTTTTCTCCACAAGAAATCCATAATTCAGTTTTAGCCCACACTGACTAGCCCAGGATACTAGTTCCCCCTTCCTGAATTCAAGCCTACCCAAAATGGCCTATGGCCTGAAAGCCTGTTCTGGCCTGAGAGCTTATTATTGTTGTTGTGTGTGTGTGTGTGTGTGTTACATAGCATACGTATCAACATGACTGCTTAGAAGAAAAACCTACTGAGATCAGTGGGACTTACTCCTAGGTAGATGGATAGAGGAACAAAGAATTGAGGAATTCCTCAGTGGCATTTCTTGTTCCAGTTAGCTCTTCCAGATTACAGTAAAAATGTTTGAAAGGTTCTTACTCTTTGTATATATGCTGAATTAAACTTTCAGAGCAATTACCCACTACTTTGTTTAATTAAGCATCTATTTACTTGGGAATTTCGTAACCACATTGACAATTTTAAAAAATGACACCAATTTGTATATCAGACTACTGTGCCCTGTCTGATCTTAAAGTTAGGCTGTCCATTTCAGTGTACATTTAGGCAAAGGCAAATCTTTGTCTACCCTGAACACCATATGTTTAGTTATAGACGTTTGCACAACAATTACTTTTAAAATTTGCAAAGAGGTACTATTTAGATAAAGCATCTGAAGAAATCTGAAAGTTATCTCTGGTTCAGAATTACTTTCAAAAATTAAAATAGCTTAGCTAGGGGGATTCGTTTCTTTGTCACATATAGATTAGACTGCTTTAACATGCTTTATGTGGGGCTGCTTTTGGAAAGTTACAGAAACTGCAGTGGATACAAAAAGTGGGCATGTAATATGAAGCATATCAGTAATTCTGCAATAATTTAATTCACTTTGGTTCTAGACACTGTTCAAAGTTCTTGTTTTAATCTTAATTCCAAAAACAAACTGAGCCCAATATTCCTTGAAGATCCACCTACTTCTTTCTTCTGAATCTTTCTGTGTGTTGAGTACTATGGTGGGTGGCAGACAAGACAGGGCTAGTTGCTCTCTACTGTGGCCCTGAAGCTGTTAGCCCTGCTCCTGTTCCTTCCTACATTTGATCTGCCTTTCTTCCAGAAGGCTTTTGGCTTTCCTTTATTAGGTACAACACCTATCATTGCCTAACCATCGGTGGCCAGTGCTGCTGGGAGTTACTTTTTTACCAGCGTACAGGATGGAAACAGTCATAAATGTCTTGGTGGATGAGTTATACCAGGGAATGAGTGCACCTTGACCTTTTTAGTTCTCCTGCACAATGTTCTTTGAAATCATTGATGAATCATTGATCATCTTCTGGATTGTCTGGCCAGCAAAGCATGGTTTTACTGTGGCTCCAAAGATTATTGCTAAGAAGACAGAGATAATGAAGATGGGGGAACTGATTCATTTAGATAGAGCTGTTTGGTTCTGGATTGTGAAACACTCTCTCATGAAAGGCTGTTGTATTCAGGAGAAGCTGTTGTAGTTTAGTGGCAGAGCACATATTTTGCATGGAAAAAGTACCCGATTCAGTCTGCTGCCTCTAATTTCCTAAGCTTAGGAAATAATTCTGCCTAAAACCCGAGAGAGCTGTTGTCAGTCAGTGTTGAAAATATTGAGCTGGATGGACCTATAGTTGAACTCAGTATGAGGCAGCATAGTATGCATCTTCTGGAAAGACCAAGTTCGCATCATGGATAATCTCTTGGACAGACTTTTCCCCACTTACTCATTCCCTGGTTATGTTCAGAGTAATGAAACATACTCTACATGGTGCTGCTTTGGAGTGTGGTTCAGAAGCTTCAGTCCATGCAGACTGCAGTTCCCTGTATGCTTACAGGAACTAAGCATTCGAAGGATACTGCTCTAGTGTATAATCTGTTGCATGGACTAGTCCAGCCTTGACTTCCTAGTCCAATTTAAAGGGCTGGCTTTGAACATTAAAACACAAAATGGTTTTAGTGCTAAGGTGCTTGACAGACCACGGTGGGCAGGTTCATTCATTTATTACATGATGAGTTTCTGGGGTCTTGGATCCATCTGGTAGCCTGAAAAATATTCTGATTTAACTGGCTTTGTACCGATTTTGAAGCAGACTTCTGCATGGATATCCTTACCTGAATGGGAAACTCCACAGAAAAATAGGTGTTAAATTCTCATAGCTGATTGGACCTTCATTTCAGGAGTGTACTACAGCTTGGAGTGTATGTGTAGGAAGAGGGATTTTCAGTGGGACTTAAGGTGTAGAACTGTAGTTGACCTCCCATTCTGATGCACTTAGTCACAATCCTGCTTGAGCTCTCCATAGCAGCTGTTTACATGTTTAAAATGTGGACATTGATTGCTTCCTTGTAATTTGCATACAGGAACTGCTAGTTTGTGCCTAAAGCTAAATGCTTACATTAGCTCACCTTCCCATCCATCACCCTTGGGAGAATATAAGATGCTTCAGAACACTTGGGAAGGACTAAAAGGCAGTGAGCATGTCAGTTAGATGCCATGTCAGTTAATATAACCAATATTATTTAACCTTCTGAAATCTTTGCTACCTTAATAAAGTACAGAATTAGTAGGCAGTTATGATTAATCATTTATTTTTTGATTTTCACCCAGGTAATTACCACTTATTGAAGGTGTCAATATGTACCATTCCATTCCTGGAACTAGCCATCCTTTACAAACTGAAGAACAGGAAATAGGCATTGATCCATTACAAAGTTATGTGAATAGACCTGATGAAGGTGAGTTTACTAATTCTATACTTACAATTTTGAAATATTCCAAGGAAGTATGTCTGTCTCTTTTTAATGTAGGAAAGCCTTCCCCCAACAGTTGAATAAGAAACTTTTAAAGAAGGTGTGTGCATGCATGTTATGCATGTATGTATTGTATGCATGTGCATAGTAGCAGTGGTCTGGCACATAGGAAAACCTCAAAAAGTCAGTTTACAGTTAGATACTGAAACATTGACCAGATGTTTAATTCATTGTCATCCTTTCTAATCATAAACCAAAGAGTGATTTCACTATCAGAATACTGAAATCTGGTATAAGCTTTACTGAACACTTCACAAAGATCAGCTGTTTAGCCAACTTCAGTGTTTTCTTAATTTCTATTATTCCTATTTTTTGTTTTTATAGCTTTTATAATTTGTTTCCTAAAATACAGATTTGACAGTTTCCTATTAAATTTAATTTGGGGCATTGTGGATGCATTCCAACACAAGCAGATGAGTTGGACATCCCTAGCCTGTGTCTTTGATAAACATATATTTTAATTTAAAATATTTTTGTCCTACCTCATAATCATACTTAATCCAAAGGCCAACAATGTAAAATCGCAATAGAATAATACAAACAAAAACTTTTAAAATGATGACAAGAATGGAAATAGACTATGGCAGAACAAAAACCTGTAGCATCACTACGTGCATTAAACATCGACAAGGATGGAACCAAGTTTATGGATAAGGCAAGGGCATTCCAGAGGTGAGATGCCGTAACTGAGAAGACTGTGTTCCTCCTTCCTATGCACCCACTTTAGAAGGTAGGGCACACTGAAGGTGTACCCTCTAAGAAGACATTAATAGTTGGACCAGTTGATATGGGAACATACAAGAGTTTCCACTAGCTTTCTATAATACCCACCTGGATTTATATCTCAGCAGGTGTATTTATTTCTTGTACTTCCTTGTAGCCACAAATGTTAAGAATTTAAATAATTATATAAGAATAGTTAAATTAATTAATTGAATGATGTTCAATGAAAAGTACCTGGAAGATTGTCAGTGCAGGCATATTTACTTCAGCTTCTTACAATTCTGCTGTTATTGACCATTGACCTTTTCAAATGCTCATATGTACATATTTAAAATGTAGAGGAGGAAGTAGGAACACACTTGCTGACCTTAACATCAGCATTGCTTACACTCTTGCTAATTGAATCCAGCACTGGAGAGACCTGCCTGTATGCATGTGGCTGAATGAGTCTAGGCAGTTGTTGCTGATGTCCTGCTAAGGTAGGGCGATGGGGCTGAGGGTAAGTCCACACTGAGACAGGTTCACAGAATCATTTTAAACCGTAATGGCTTGAATATACCATTGTGGCTTGCGGTACATGCCAGACACCTGCTTGTAACCCAAACCCTGCTCTAGATGGTCATGTCATCCAGATCTGGTGATAATGGGATAGGTAAGGTAAAGGTAAAGTTTTCCCCTTCACATTAAGTCCAGTTGTGTCTGATTCTAGGGGGCGGTGCTCATTCCATTTCTTAGCCAAGGGAACCAGCATTTGTCTGCAGTTTCGATGGTCGTTTGGCTAGCATGACTAAATGCCAAGGTGCACGGACTGCTGTTACCTTCCCACTGAAGTGGTGCCTATTTATCTACTTGTATTTGCATGCCTCCAAACTGCTAGGATGGCAGGAGCTGGGACAAAGCAATGGGGGATCACCACATTGCGTAGATTCGAACTGCCAACCTTTCAATTGGCAACTCCAGTGACTCTGCAGTTTAAACCACTGCACCACTTACGTCCCAATGGGATAGAGTGGTTAGCAAACCACTTACACCCTAAAACTGGATGGGTTCTGTATGGCTTATTAACCATGCAAACAACTAGCCTTCTCTGGGCTTGAACGATACAACAGACTCCCAGGGTGGGTTATGGCACTGCTGTATAAGCCACAGGGGCTTATTTAAGCCAATAGAGATCAAAAGACTAATACACCATCCAGTGCCATTGAACACATTCTTATTCTTCTGCTCCACCCAGCTGAATGTGTGTTATGTGTATTCTGTAGCAGAGAGGAACACTTGAAACTATTTCCTTGTAAGAACATTTTGCAAACATTTCCTTATACCCTATCCCATTTTTGCTAGCTGTAATCTTATAGTCAATTGATGCATGGATTAGGAAAGTAAATTTAAAACGGATCCTAAATTTCAGATAAATAACCTTCTTCAGTTTTCAGAATACCCTTTATAAATCTGCATTTTGTCAGTGTATACACACACACACATGTTTTAGCCACATACTGGATTTAAATACTGTGATGTGTTTTGTTCTGTTGTATGTTTAGTCAAAGATGCATCGATGTTACTTCATTGTGCCAGTACACAGTGTATTTTGAAATTACAGTATAATTAGCCATCTTTGTCCATGCAAATGTTTCTACCTTGAGGATACAAAAAGAGTGGGAATAGATTATAAATGAAATGCTTGACTGTACATATTGGTGTTATTGAAAATCAATGAACTTCAAATACACTGTGTATCCCAAATTTAATCTAACTTAATGCAAACAATGATACTTGTTACTCAAATACTTGTTTATGTTTTATATTGAATAAATGCAACAAAAATATATCATTCATACTTAAAAGTTGAACATACTAGGAAGTTATTTTAATGACTTTATCTTCACAATACAGCTTACTTTTTCAGCCGACATCAAGCAGAAACTGAAAGTTTATTGTCTAGAACAGGATGATAGATATACTCTGCACATTATACCCTGATCCATGATTTTAACCTCTTCGAAATATTTTTAATTTATTGTACTCTATCCTCTTTTTCTTGTTTGCACCCAGGAGCAATTAGTTACCTAGAAAGGCAGACTTTGTAGTTTTTATCTGAACCTTAACATTGCCATGACATATAAAGTTATTAGTATTGAATTGATGTTTAAAAGTGCCATTAATTCATTTACCCAAATGTTCATTAACAATGTAAATGTATGCTGATGTTCTATGAGACAAGGAAGTGACTAATGACTCTTCCCACTAACAACACTTAAAATGAATAGAAACTTAAGATAGCTAATCTTGAAGTAATCAAGACCTTCATTCAGCTTGGCATCTCTGTATGCTCTAAAACAGCTGTCAACTGTTAAAAATATATACACAACACACAGATTCGCACATGCGAAGATAGAGATATGTAAATACATGGTTCCCCAAAGTCATAAAGGTTACCAACCATAGTACATTTTTACGTTCTATATGTAAATATTTTATATAAAGCATCCATTTCATCTTCATGGCTTTTTTAAAGTGAAACACAAACTGCATTTTAATTTGGTGCCATATGCAGCCAAATTAATAATTTTTCCAGTTTGCACTATTATATAAAATAAGGTATACTATAGATACTGGGGGTTGGATGGGCACTACTCTGCAATTTTCCCAGCCTTAATTCTGCAACTCAGGAATTGTCAAGAGGCAGCAATTGCTCTGTAACAAAGAGATCATCACTGTTGTGTGGTGCCTTCCATTGTTGGTGCTCTAGCTATGTAAGTATCAATTTATAGTTGTATACCTATACATATAATTTAATAAAAGTTTAGTGATAAAGTAGATAATATATTGGATGTGCATACCAAAGTCCATTTCAAGCTGAGCTCAGATAAGAATCCTACATCCTGGTGTTAAAACTACATGTTATATTATTCATGCCTTTAAAAAATCTTCATTTGAAAAAGCTTTGCTGCATAACACAATATATGTGCAGTCATCACCCATTACATGTCACAGCAAAGATTCCTGTGCACTGAGAAATTCTGGCTGCATTACTTCTTCAAAAGAAGCCAAGAACTATTTGATCAATAATTGTGAGTGGGACCATACCCTAATAAATGCTTCTGGGTGAATGTCCATGAAAACTCATAAGCTCTTTTTCTGTTGCCTTAGTGGTAAATTGAAAGTGCAGAATGTATCTCTTAAGAAGTTGTAATCCACAGTATTATGGATTACAAGGTAAGAAAAGGTATTATGGAACACTTCACAACTTAGACCTGGTGAAGGCACAAGAGACCTTCTGAGTGGCCATCCTCTGGGCTTTTGAACTCCTATCAAATTTCTTGGTTTGGTGCTGTTTATTTCTTCTCTTGTTGTATTTTAATTAATTTGTTTATGATGATGTTTTATTTAATCTGTATTTTATTTTTAGCTGTTTTGAGTGCCTTTTGGGGAAGGCAGAGTAAAAGGTGGGATGTAAATTAAAATCTTGAGATTTTTATGCCTTTCATTTTCTTCCTGAATAGTGTTCCCATCCAGTCTTTTAATTATTTATTTCAAGCAATGTTTTCATGTGCTTCTCTTTTTAGACTGAATATTCTACTTAAAGTATAAGCAAAGTTGTATATAATGTTATGAAGTCAGCATACAAGTCTGTAGTATATGAGCACCTGAGATTTTCACATGGCTGCATCATAAGGCATTTCAGTATATTGAGTATAAATATAGGTATAATTATTTAAAAGTGTTATGAGACAGTGTTCCTTTAAATGTTGGTAAGTTTCAGAAGAGCAAGGGAGATAAAAGGGACATGAGTAAGTGAAGTGATTGATTGGTGACTAAGAGCATGTGGGTGGACTTTGGAAGCCGTGTGAGGGGGAAAGAAAAGCTCTCATTCTGTCTGAGAGTTGTGGTCTGGCAGTGAACCTACACAATCTGAAGAGGCAGCATTCTTATTAGAATCCCAGATAATGTTGTGAAAAGCATTTAAGATTCTAAAGAAAGAAGTAGGACATATTAGTGACTAGGAAGGTATGAGAGGGAAACTGACAGAGGTGCAGGAGAGAGATGAGGATCTGTGTGTGAGGATTCTGAAGGGAAAGAGTAAGATACCCACATCAAAAGTTATCATACATTGTCTTATTTACCAAAGAAAAAGTTACAGAACATTTTGAAACCATTACACATACTGTACAAATAAAGTTTTATTTTGTTTAACTAAGTGT